TATTGAATAGAAAAATATACCAAATTATTATACACAAACTCTATCAATGGCAAAAAAGTTATCCAATCATCTTGATGATAATTGATGGTATACCTTAAGTACTTCTCCAAATCTTGATTCATTGGTTTCATTCACCCATTAGTTTGAGGATCAAAAGTTAAAGAAAGTTTTATATCCATCTTTAAAATCTTAAAAAGGATTTTCCAAAATCTTGATATAAATTGAATCTCCCTATCTAATATAATATCTTTAGGCAATTTGTGATAACAATAGATATTTTTTAAAAAAAGTTTGGTCATTTCTTCATATGTCATAGATTTTTGTACATAGTACAAAATATACCATCTTAATAAAATAATCTACTACTACAAATATAGAATCACACAAACTTAAGATTGAAAGATCCGTGATAAAATCCATAGAAACAAAAGACCATGATTGTTTTGAAACAAGTAATGGTTGAACAAGTCCATAAGGTCGATAGCAAGGAATTTTGGATCTTGAACAAATATCATATGATTATACAAAATCTTTTACTGCCTTTTATATTTGAAGCTACCAAAAATCTTTCAATATTAGTTCCAAAGTCTTATTGTATTCAAAATGTTTAATTGTTGGAAAGTCATGAAAAATTTGAAATCCACAATAAAGAGTTGCTTGTAATCATAGATTTATTTTAAGAATAGTATCATTATTTAGAAGGCACCTTGAGTCTTTTTGGAATAGAAAGCTACTAGATGGAATTTATCATATGCTTCGATTTGTGATAGTACTGCACCTAAAGCAAAGTCTAATGCATCTATTTTCATGAAAAATACCTTGAAGAAGTCAACATGATATAAGATTGGTGCAAAAGTAAATTCATTTTTTAAAGCATCAAAAAATGCTTTAGCTTCTTTATTCCACTCAAGTTTGTATTTACAAGTCAAATATATAAGTGGAATTGTAACTTAAGAAAAATTCTTGATGAAGATTTTATAGTAATTAGCAAAGTCCAAAAAGCATTGTATGTCTCTTATTATTCTAGAATCTTTCAATTTATGATAGTCTAGATCTTCTTTGGATCCATTATTAGTCCTTTGTTAGAAATGATGTATCCTAGGAAGTCAACTTGAGAAGTGTGGAATACACACTTTTTTAACTTACCGTATAATCTTGCATCTCTAAGTTTCTATAACACACAACTAATATGAATTTCATGCTCTTCTGTCTTTTTAGAATAAATTAAGATATCGTTCAAATAACAAATGATAAAATCATCATAAAACTTACAAAAGATATCATTTATTAGATGTTGAAAAAGAGTTGGTACATTTGTGAGTCCAAAAGGCATGATATTATATTCAAAATATCAATACCTAATTCAATATATAGTTTTCTATTCATCTCCTTCTTTAATGCATACCAAATTATATGCTCTTTGTAGATCTGTTTTTGTATAGATCTTTATTTAATTTAATTGATCAATAACTCATGAAATTTAAGATAGAGGATACTTATTTTTTTGAATCCTCAATAATCTACACATTTATAGAGATCCATCTTTTTTCTTTACAAATAAGATAGGAGCTCCAATTGAAAATTTAGAATGGCATATGAAATTTTTAGCCAAGTTTTCATCAATATATTCTTTAAATATAGCCAACTTATTTTGAGATAGATTATAGATTGGTCCAAATGGTAGGTAAGTTCTTTCATGAAGATCAATGGATCAATTATAAGGATGATGCTCTATAAGAATATTTACATTTTTCTTTTTAAAAACATCCTAAAAATCTTAATATTAACTAAAAATATTACTTGATAACTTCTCACCATCAAAAATAGACATGGTATATATAACAAAAGATAATCCTTCTTTTGCAGCATGTATGAAAGCTCTTGCAGCTATTAGTAAGATTTTAGATGCACTAGACTTATGTATTTCTACATGACTAATGAAATTTTGGATTAAATTATCAAAAAAATTAAGGTTACAAGAAATCCAATCTATTTGAGGATTATACTTTTTTAACCAAGATAATTCTAAAATAGTCAGATTAAACGGAGATCTTATCACATTAAATATCACTATGCTATTATGATCTTTAATTGCTATATCAAAAAGAACAGTCTCATGTATAACATGTGCAAAGATAGCAAACAACCATCTATGACTTCTACATATATAAGTTTAGTTTTCTTGACTAACAATATTTCTTGTTTTTTGACAAAATCTATATAAATTGACATAGCACATTTCAAACATGTTAATGAGCAAGAAAAGATTTGACGTTGTTAAGATGGTTTGTACTTATATTATGGAAAAGCTAAGCACATTCTTAAATATTATCAAAAGAAGTAATGTAATCACAGAATAAAGAATATGGTTGCAAAAGACGATAATATATTAGAAAACAAGTTCTCCCAACTATAATAGAAATTGTGCAACTTGAAACTTGTACAGTTCCTAGTAAAGGTCCTATTCTCTCATCAAATCCTTCACCTTGTTTTACAATAGAAATTTATTTAGGACCAAAAAATCACAAAGTTTTTGCCTTATTAGATTTAGGAGCCTCAACTTGTTTTATGGACAAAAATTTTGTTAAAAAATAAGAAATATCTTTAGTTAAGAAAACTAAATCCATGCATATAGAAGTTATAGATGGTTTTTCTTTGTCCTTTAGAGATGTTATTCATAAACTATTTTTTTAGATATAGTTATTGATTGGCATAATAACTTAGTAATATTTAATGTGTTTAGATCTCCTTCTAATCTAATTATTTTAGAATTATCATGCCTAAAGAAATATAACCCTAAAATAGACTAGATTTCTTATAACATTGATTTTATTTTATAGTTTTATTTAGAAATCTATTAGCTTTTTATAATAAAGTTTGTAAGGATTCTAAAAAAATTGATAATATCATAATAATTAATTATTTATAAATAATATAATTATTTATATAATTTAACTTGAGATACTTTATTTAAATATTAATATAATTATTTAATTTTTATGTATTATTCATAATAATTAAAAAAAGACCAAAGTACAATAAGTTGTATCTTATTATAATATAGTAATATATCTAAATGTGTTTTGAAATCTTTAAACATTTAAGCATTTTATGCCACTTTATTATTACTTGCATATTCAAATTAATTGCTATAAACTACACTCAAAAGTTTAGAATAAATAAGCTTAATGCTCTATATAGCATAATTACTTACTAAAAGAAAAAATATGTTATAAGCTTAAAGAGAATTTGTTAATGACAAAACCATAAAAATAATCTAAACTACCTTTTGCAAACAAATTTTACTTCTAAACTAAATTACCATTAATCTTAATAAAATTTATTTAAAGCCTGTTAAAACTTTAATTATGTAAGTTCAAATAGTTCACTTAGGAAATTTAGATCTAAAAGATTAATGAAAGCTAAAGGAGCATTATAAATTCCATATAAAATAATTATATATATGTATATATATATATATATATATATATATATATATAATTTCTTAAATCTCAATTTCTATAAAATTAACCTCTATTAAAAAGTAACACAAATCCATTCTTAAAAGTATTATTCAATAAGAATTCTTATCACTCACAAGAAAATGCTCTAATACCATGTAAAGTATTATAAAATTAATACTATTGTATGTTATGATAATAAAAAAAAATTATCACAAACCAACTTATTTATATTTTACTAAAAAGTCTTATGAACCGTTTGTAGTATTATTCCAATTCTAAGTGATACTCACTGTAACAATCCTAATTCTTAACTTTACATAACTAAATTATGGTTTTGATGCTAAGGTAACTCCTTTAATTAGCTGTTACACGTTGTTCTAACACATCCAAGGAAAAATGTGCATTTGAATTTTTTATAAATATAGCAATCCTATTTAGCAAGTTCCAAATTCGTAGTAAAAGAAAATGAGTTTATAATTATTGTAAAATAATCATTGTGTTCTTCTGTAGCAAGCCCCAATATGGTTGCAAAGAAATGTAACTTCAAGTCTTATAAAAAAAATTGCCGCATTCCTAGCAAGCTCAGAACTTCTTGCAGAGAAATGCGAGGTCAAATCTTGTTCTTAAAATATGATGTATTCCTCCAAAGTAAGCTCAAAGCTCTCTGCAAAGGGATGCGAGGTCAAGTTCATAATATAACTGGACAATCCCTGTTTCAAACCAAAAACCTCTTCTCAACCTCAAAACAATTTGCTGAAGAAAGATCTGTGAAAAACTACAAATTTGATACGCCACACTCTATCTAGGGCGGCCAAAGATTTCTATGCGCACCTGGTGTCAACTGTGATGGGAAATTCGGGCTCTCTTAGATATTTTGGGCTGCCCAATCTTAGCAGTGCAGGCTGAAGGGTGCCCTAGTTCGGTTGTTGCCCGACGTCGAAGTTCAGCGAGCTGAGTGGACGAAGTGAAAATCTACTAGTATCGGCTGAGTACCTGGCCAGTCTAAGCGGTTATGCCCTCAGTTTTGGTGCTTACGATTCCCGTGACAGAGGTAATTGCTGGTAAACACCGACTAATTGCCACGTGGAGGTTGGAAGGTGAGAACAATTGTAAAATTTCGACTATGAAGGAACAAGGCCCAGCGTCTCCACATCATCACATGCTAACGATGATGATCACACTGAAAGCTGGCCAAAATAATGTTCTCAGTTGTGCTATAAGCCAAGGCTGCATATTTTTGCCATCTCAGTGAAAAGCCACGTCAAACTCGACTAATCACTGACGTTATCCGAGGAAGAAAAGGAGCAAAAATAGCAAGAATGAAGGCTTTAATCGCGATTTTGATCATTGGGGTCAACAGTTTGAAAATGCTCTAAAGGGAATTGCGACACAGTTGGTTGCCATGGTTCACGGAATAACAAACCAAATATGCATTTCGCGTGAATCTCTCAACCATGAAATGCAGCAAAGGTTTCTATCACAATAACATAAACGCCGTGGAGCCTATACGCACATACATTTACAGAATGCTTAATGTAAGTGAAATTCTCAGCTTCTATTCCTAGAAGTCTCAGCAAGATCACAAATTCGAAAAAAGAGACAATTATCATTTCCAAACTTGAAACAGTTAATTCAGTTAAGCTGTCACAAATCTCGAGCATTACCCAACTGCAATATCAGGCACCTGATTATTTCTAAAATGCTTTACAAAGAATGAATTACTTGACCTGGAACATAAAAGTCTCCACTACTTGATTTCTGAGCAGGCTCTGGGTCCAGCAGGTTCCCTCAAGCATTCTCCAATTGCGTTAACCGCTGCCTCGATTGAAGCATCTTCACCCTGCTCATGCAATATGCTATATAAGCTACTAAAAATTATACGAGCGAAGTGGGAACAGCAACATCTCTAGTCTCGTTCAAGAAATTGAAGGATGTATTGGGGAAAACTACGCAACAACCTAAATGGAAGAGAATGTGAGCGGAGTTCGGCTCTGCATAATCTACTATCGAAAGTAGTGAAGTACCGATTCCCAACACATCATGTAATGAAGAGCTTACCATCTCCTGCCAGTAAAATTTGTTGCCATATTTCCCTGCTAATCGTGTCCAAAAGCTTCGAGGAATGCTGAGATCCACACCAGCTCCCACGTTGAAGTTTAAAATGTTACCTATATTCAGACAACAGAAAACAGATTCTTTGTCAGATAAATCGACACTAGAGAGTTGTCGTTTATGCAATTCATTGATGTTAAGTCGTGGTTAGTACATTTTCAAGAAAGTTCCCATTAAAACAGAATCTTTTAGTAATCCGTAAACATATTAGATACCTAAGCTGGGATCCGCCACAAATACAACGGTATTGTCGTCGACGCTCCAAAAATCCCGCACTGCTAGACCTGCATTAAAATCATGAAAGCGTGTAATTAATAGGAAGCGATTGGTTTCCTATGCAAACCATCGGCAAATCAATGCTGAAACTTATGACATAATTCATTGAGAGATTTGAGGAATTATAATGCTCCCCCGAGACCCTGAGGAAACTACACACCTGTAGCCGGTGCTCTTAGGAACTTACAACAACAAACTCTCAATAAAAAAAAACTGAACACGCGGCTTAGAGTCAAGAGGCGTGTGGTGTACAAACACTCTGCATGTCATTGTTCACTCAGTTGCATTTTCTTGTACGGAGAGTCTCGCAAGAACAGAGAAAGCGGCGGAGACTTAGCAATTCAATGTACGTAAGATAAATTGGGCCTAAATTCTCGCATGTGAAGCATCAAGAGCGTTGAACCTGGTGTGGTGGGATAGTTTTGGGCAAGCACCCGCAGCTTGTATCCTGTGTCTTGTTCAAGACTCTCTACAGCATTCTTGATTCTGTCCACCTAACACAGCACCAATAGTATATTTTCAACACAAGACTTAGCTTCACCGAGATTGGAGATTTCACTATAATTGAAACCATATGAATTCTAAAAATATGAAGTATCGATTCGCAACGTGTAACACACACATGAATATTAGTCTATTCCAAGTAGTAACCAAGCCGAAACATAAGTAATATTGCTCATGACTCTAAATTTCGCTTTGAAGTTGGCCCGAGAAGCTCCAATAGTGTGATCCGGCAAACGGCAAAATGCAGATGTGTACCTGTCCAGATGACAAGAATCCAGCCACATCAATAACTGTGGTGAATTCCTTCGGCAGCAACTCCGGTTTGTTCACGCCTTCGAGCCTCTTGGCCTCCGCCATGTCGACACCTGCTACAAACCACTTTCTGATATACGTAATCCCATCTTGACGTAACAGTAGATTCTTCGAATAATGAGATTGTCGATTTCCGTTGAGGTATATCTTAAAAGTGCACTTAAAGGATCATTACAAGTATTGAATACGATTAAGCTAAACCTTTTCAAGAGATTCCCAGGAATTACGACCATTCATTGTTGTTTAAGATACTTCAAACTCACGAGTATTTCTTATCAATCTGAAATCATGACGTATTAATACGACAAAGTTCAATGAGCATAAAGAATGAGATAGACATCCATGATTCCAGATTACAGCGTATATTGCAAATAGAGATGCTCCTGATCTCTGTATGTGCATAAATCCCACCCGATATGCAGATATTACAAACGAAAAATTCTGTCTCTTTCCTTCTATTCTTCTTTGTTTTTGATTTTTTTTTTTGAAGAATCAGCGTGACATTATGCCACCCTTCAGATTATGACCTCTAAACTTCGATCCAGCTGTAGAAAAGCTGTAATACTTGCATCAGAATCAATGCAGCCAGTATCTAATACTAATTTGTCCTCGCACCTCAGAATAACAGAATTACAAACCACATGTAGCTGAGATGCAGGTGATTTGAGGTAAAATTAACTGACCTCCTAACGAGAGCGAGAGACCAAGCGCCAAAGCGACGCCAGCCTTCTGTGCAAAACGAAGGATGCTGACTCCCGGGTTCCCAGCATCACATCCTTCAATTTCTTCACCATTAGTGAGCCCCATCGTCACGATTCCTCTTCCCTGAGCCCATTGACTGCCCACCTTCCCGCACATGGCGGGTCTGAAACCTCGAGGCGACCAGCTCTGTACACCGTTTCCATTGAAGCTCACAGGGCTCGGAATAGGAATCCACGCCGCACTAGTCCCTCGTGAACACGCATGCGCACATTGTACCACAGCCGCCATCTTCCGACTTCAAAACTATTGCAACCAATACTAACCCTCTGTTCGCACGATCCACTGAAAATATCACCACATCCTCCACGTCCTAAATTTGAAGCCCACAAAACATTGCAATCTCTCATTGACTCCAAAGAACTGAAACGTGCTCAACAAGCGGAACCGTGAAAATTCAAAAAAAAGAAAAAAAGGGGTTGTAAAAATCGAACCACAGTTGAACGGAGACAGCTTCAACTGAACCGAAACGCAACTCGCAATCCAAGCGAGCCAACGGTAGAAGAAGAATGGAGATTAGTTGTTCCGCGGTGGAAGGTCTGTAACTTTTAAAGCGGAGTACTTATCCAGAAACGACGTCACACGCAGCTACCCTATCACCAGGGATTTCAGGTCATCCTTCTTCACACATTTCTTTTGGCTTCTCAGTGCAGTTCAGGTCGGTGTGCTTCGGAAACTTGGACACTCCGTGCGGGCACCTTCTCCTCACCTTTCTCGCCACGTCTTTGTCAAGAAATCCAGAATTCCGGGCCTTACTGACTTCGTTTGCAACGTGTTGCTGACCGCATCGGACCTAACTTTATTTCGCTTTGTGGGCCTGTGTGTGAATTGTAAAATGTGGTGAATTCTTTCGGATTCCGCATGTTCTCAATGGCGTGAAGAACGGAACTTGCTTGCGCGTCTCCCCTTACAATGACTGCTTGTGGGGCCATGTGGAGAACGGGTATTACATTCCTTAACGGGTATAGTAGAGATGAAAAACATGTTTCAAGACAAACAAGAATATAAGGAGAAGATCGTTTTGGCCAGGACATTTTCTTCTTTAGCACACAATTTCCACGTTTTGTGCTTGAGTATTTGGGCCCATCCCTAATCCTTGGAAGAAGATTTAGAGCGGCACCCGTCTGACTCCTTTGAGTTGGATAGTTCCGAGTCCATCGTCTTGTAAACTTGTTTATCGGAAGAGGGAACACAGGAATGTGAGAAGAATGACCACAATCAACTTCAAGGCATCCGTAACACGCTGCCTAATGCGTAGAGAATGTGCATCGTGGACAAGTGGCAACATGAGAAACAAGGTGCAGGAGAATTACAAGAGCTAGGGTACGAAGATAAAAACTGAGAATAATTAAATTTATGATACACTTGGTAAGGGAAGAGTATCCCTGGTGAAAATGTGAAGTCAAGGTCTATATTTCATGAGACTCATCAACCAGTAAGTGCGGACGTCATTAAGCTCTTAGATGCCAACATGTTCTCCTCCCATTCCTTCGAGGCCGTGTATATTTGTTCAAGACTAAGGGCCACTTTACGCATTGGTGGCCTGTCATGAGGATTTGCCTCCACACATTTTCTGGCCACAAACGCAGCCCTAAATGCACAATCCAAAGGAAATGAATCTCCCAGCTGCGGGTCTATCCATGCTCTAACCCTAGCTCTAGGTTCAGAGTCCAAAAAAATGACAGCTATTACATCAGATAACACGGTTTTCTTCATTATTGACTCTCCTGGATTGTGCTGCATCTTTACAGCTTCTTCTCCAGACAACAATTCTAACAAAACAACGCCGAAAGCATAAACAGCAAGCTTTGGAGTAACCTCGCCGCTGAGGGTGTACTCAGGAGCCATGTAACCGTGTGTTCCCCTAATCTTGATGCTGCGCGAACGTCGTAGACTTCTTCCTGAAGGGCGGCCAAGTATCATTTTCTGCTGCTGTGATCTAGGAATAGAGTTTTCATCAAATCATGACCTCGTCCCCGCTAGCTGCATTAAGCAATGTCCCAAGCTCTACCGCCGCTTCTCCTCGAACCCTTGACACTCCAACACTAGAAATCCTAGGGTGAAGGTCATTGTCCAAGATAATACGGGTGCTCTTGATGTCTTTGTGCACAAAAGGCGGGGAAGCATGTTCATGGAGATACTCGAGACCCTTGGCTACGTCAAGTGCAATGCGAAGCCTGACTTTCCAGGAGTTAAGGGTGGTAAAACCTGGGGCGTTGACGCTATGCAAACACTGACGCAAATTTCCACCAGAGATGTGGTCGTATACAAGGTACAATTGATCCCCACTCATGCAACCTCCAATGAGCCTTATAAGATTAGAATGGTGTAGATTACAGATGCCCTTGACTTCGGCAACAAAATCTACATCCACGCATATCCTCTTCTCCACAACAACAGCGACGTTCTTCCCTGCAATAGTTCCCCGAAATGATCTTCCTCCAAGTTGCCTAACTGAGCTGAAATTTTCTGTGGCCTTGAGGATATCCTTGTATGTGAAAAACTGCGCACCATCGGACAGCAAACCCTTCAAGCTCGCCGAAGAAATTCCACTGCCTGAAGAAGTATCAGATGCCCTAGAATATTTGGATTCTTTGGACAGGGATTGACTAATTGTGCAGTTCGTACTTAAATCCAAACTGCTCTCGTCCGGTGCTTTCCAAGATGTGGATCTAACTCTCACCGTCCTTTCTTGTGACCTTGCCAGCGACGGTGTCCCTGACCCTGCCTGCTTGGGTCACTTACAACTAAACAAACACATAATGAGCGAGCCACAGGATTTGAAACCGAAGTGGCTCTAATACACAGCAGGACACTAATTCCAGGCTCATAATGAGAAGAGAACCAGTGAATACTTCCAATCAACAGATCGTCAAAAAGCTATGTGACAGTGGCAGAGGAATACCTCATGCGCATGTCGGATCCGCAACATCCCTGAATAGTGTTCTGAAGCAAATTCCATCTCTAACTTTTTCGTCAATATCGTCCCTCCAAAACTTTCTAGCATAAAGCCCTGGAAATTCCTATGAGTTTTCTTCTGTATTGGATTATCCAAAAAGTCCCTTCAATACGAGACCTTCGTATCCTTCACAACCAAAAATTTCTTCACGTTGTGATGTAACCTGAGAAGCGAGTACACGCTTCAGAGCCGACAAGGTTGAAGATGGTTGCAATTACGACAGATAGGTGTGAGATTTTGAAGGTCTCAGCTGTCGTGTGCTCCTCATGGGCATCTACGGTTGGAAACTTCCGTCCTCTACCATGCGGGGAAGCCTGGTGCATAATAACGGCGAAGGTAACACTGGATCAGATTTAGTTACAGACCGAAATCTTCTTCAATAACGGGAGTAGTTGAGAGGAATGGTTCCCAATCAGGATTGTCACGCACACATCTCTCGCTCTCCCGGACACACTATCTGCGACAATAGTCATCCGAAGTTGAACACGGGCTACTCCAAAACCAACAAAACCAAGGACTATTTTCTCTTTTTCTGGAATCCCGCATCCCATAGATCAACTGTAAGACAGATAACAGCAACTCTCGACTCTCAGAAGAAGCAAGGTACAGGTCATGCTCCTTTATCAAGAGCAAGCAAGACAAAGATATGGGCAGCGCGAAAGCTAAAGGTGGTGAGGCGATGGATGCACTTTGGTCGTAGCATCCTTGGCTGCAGCGAATCATCAACGAAGGATCTGGTGCGACTGGCAGAAAACACGAAGAAAGAGCTGATTAATGAGGAGCATGACCGCGTGGTGCTACAACATTGCACTAGAATCCAGGCACGCGAGCATGCGAGAGCTCGAATCGAAACAAAAGTGTCTTGCGGTGCTTGTCGCTACGCTACGCCCACTTCGGAGCCCGCCGGGTGGGAGCGGGTCATCCTCGCCCGGCTTATCGTGACCCGGCCCGTTTCTTTCCTTTATCCTTTGGGGAAACTTTTCCGACAGCACTGAAAAACGAGTTTGCACACATGTTAGGACTTCTTTTTATTTGGGATTGTTTATTGAGGGGAAAAGCTTATGCACCTAGAATCTTGCTTTTGATAGAGCATGTGGTGCATCATCGTCTTCAACATCGCTTAATAAACATTCCTATTATATAGTATTTTTTTTCTTTTTACTTTTCTTGGTCGATTTCATTTTTGGTGCAATAAATATGTCGAATACTCAAATGTGTATTGAAGTTTTTGGCGATGCAATTCGACATTCTTTCCTGGTTTAAAATGGCTATTTTGGGTTATATGCCAAAATGTATGTGGTATTCTTTGAAGTTTGCAGTTAATGGTGGGAATTTCAAGCAGGTAATTTTAATTTGTTTTCAACATTCCAGCAAATGTGAAGTATGTAGGTTTGAAAAATATATATGTTTAATATACTGATTTCCATATATTTATTTTCAATTATGCTTGAATATTCAATATATATATATATATATATATATATATATAAAAATCACTCTTATTTTTTAAATGTATTAAAATTTAATATTATGGTTATCTATCTTATATAAATGCATCAATAAATTACATTAAAATAAATACATTGTTTTTTCTTTATTTGATGTCATTTTTTATTGAAATTAAATTATAATTAATCAATATTAATTCTACATAAATTTCCTTTATGTGTCTTTATATCATGAAATATCACGTTTCATTATTATTGATTTTTTTTTATTTTTTTAAAACTGTAACTAGATATATATATATATATATATATATATATGTATATATATATATATGTATATATATATATATGTATATATATAAATGTAAAATTTATTTACCAATATAATATGATGCAAGTGTTTTTATATTTAGTAAATAAAGATAAGTTTGTTTAAATAAATTATATATATATTTGTATAGATTTTTTTAATTAGATAAATGTTTATTCAATTTTATCTTTTTCTAATTTCTAATTTATTTTTATAGTTTTTGACATGTTATGTGCAAAAAGAAAAAAGAAAATAAAAAAATAAATAAAAAAAAACACCAAGAAAATTTAAATGCATGTAAAATTTCGTATGTATGTTTATATTGTGAAAGATATCAATTTATTGAAAACAAAACCCTGTATATATAAACACATGTTGATTTTTTTGTTTTAATAGATGTGTTTTATTTTATGTCTATAAAATATGTATTTATTATATTTTCATTTATTACACTCTTAGATTCTTTAAAGAAATGGAACTATACATTTGATTTGTTTTGCACCATAATAACATTATATAAACTTGAATAATCTAATTAAAAAATTCTAATTCACATTATGTTTTTATAACCATGCATTATATTTAATCTTGTTGAATATGCTTTGAAGTTTTACTTTATATTTTTTTTATTCTACTGTGATATGATAATTTTTTTCATGAAAAATAACTTCTTCTCCATATATACAATAGCATTCTTTTTTAAAAATATGTTTCATAAAAATAACTTATTATGCATTACAAATCATGTTAAAGATTGTCAAAACATCTTCAAATAACAAAACAAGATATTTTTTTCACTCTCATAACAACACCAACAAATAAATTAATGCACTAATCAAGCTTTGTTTACTGTATCATACATTTTTACTATTATTACTTGCTTGATTATCAGTATAACATTCATCATACAAAACCAACCTCTATATATACTAAACATCCTTACCTTTATACCACATCCTCATCACAATCACAAGAGAGGATTCATTATAGGTCGTCCTTGCTCCACCAAATCCAGAATCCCAAGTCCTTATCTTTTTACTAGCCACCCTCTCCTCTTTCAATTTGTTTACAAGTTTTATTGTTTTTACATTTCCTATTCTGATGCCACCATAAAAAAAAAAAAAAAAAAAAAAAAAAAAAAACAGGGATCTTCTATCTGCACTGATTGTATCAGAGCATGAAAGAAAAAAATAAAAATACCAAATTAGGGTTTAATAATATTTTTGAAGGCAGTTGATAAAATATCCTGAAACAGTTGATGAAAAGAAAAAGATGAATAATATGGGTCTAGGTAGACATTCACAGCTATAATAGTTTCTTGTATAATAATGAATAGTGTGCGGAATAGAGCCGGTGGTGGAAAATAACTGTTAAACATGCTCTTGCTTTTTTTCTTTAAAACTGTGTTAGTCTGACACACAAGTGCAATCAAATTCTCTTATTTAGATAGTTTTCTATCTTTTGAATCCGTCTCGTACAGTATTCACCGAACAATACAATTTGTTCTTTATTTGCAATTTCGTCTCTGGCAAGCAGATGAAGCTTTGGAATCTCGCTCCCTTCGGTGCGAACAATCGTCACGCTCGATCACAAGTCCACGCTGCTGAGAGTATCGCTCCCGCAGCAGTAGGGATCGCTGAATTTCCATTGCCCAGGAAGTGGCGCAAGTCAGAGTCGCGCCTGAGATGCAATGGCAGGATCACGTCGTCAGGCTGTCCCGACCGAGGTGCTGCTGCCTCACTGCACAGCCCTGCCCTCTTGCATGTTCTTGTGGCGACGGAACACCGTTGCACCGAGTCCATTGACACAAGAACGCGAGACCCAATTCCTTTCATACTCCCGTTGGCGAGCAATTGCCCTTCCAAGTCCTGCAAAATGAGATGGAAAAGAAATTTGTAATTCACTGCCGGCAGAAAACTGGAGCTCCGCGATTCACGGTAGTTGAGTATTGCATAGGGGAGGGAATGACGAAAACTTGTGGCGATGGCGACAGGACGTGATTGTAATACTTCTAGTGCGCAATTTGATTCTCATCTACACAGATATACACCTTGCGCCTTGAATTTTTTGAGGGTAGTCCTCTCTTGATGTTAGGTTACATACAATAAGGAATTAATTAGGGTTTTTTAGGGTTTCTAGGATTTTTTTAGGATTTCCCATCTAATGCTCTTTCCTATGCTAATGTTGTAGAAATAGACACTTTATCTAAATCCCGGCCAATAAAGATGAAGCCACAATAGTTGAGGCCAATCGTAGAGACCTTGTAGAATTTATAAAACAATGCAAAGGATTAACAATTAAACCAACAAAAGAGGAAAACTTGTCCAACGGCTTGGCACAAAACTATATTGGCTTCTTCTCCAACGGCTTGGCACAAAACTATATTGGCTTCTTCATTAAGAAGGTTAAGAAACAAATACATGTCTTGAAGGACATAGTTAGATGTGAATTTTGCTTAGATGTATATTACAAAGTCAGATTCTACTCTCATAAGCCAGAAGCAATTCCACATAAGACAAGCAAGCATAAGCCAGAAGCAATTCCACATAAGACAAGCAAGGAACAATAACTTTATAGAAAACATGATGGCCTTAATAATAAGAGAGGATTCCTACACTTGATATTTGCAAATGTAGATACTTCATAAATGAAGGCATTGGTAGACAAAGAAGGATTTATTTGAATATGAAGAGGATACAAAAAGAAGGCTAGAACT